CCCCTGCTGGCCCGGGGGCCCTGCCTCCCCCCGCTGCTGGGCCGGGGGCTCTGACTCCCTTCCCTCCTGGGCCGGGGGCTCTGACTCCCTCCGCTCCTGGGCCGGGGGCTCTGACTCCCTCCGCTCCTGGGCCGGGGGCTCTGACTCCCTCCGCTCCTGGGCCGGGGGCTCTGACTCCCTCCGCCGCTGGGCCGGGGGCTCTGACTCCCTCCGCTCCTGGGCCGGGGGCTCTGACTCCCTCCGCCGCTGGGCCGGGGGCTCTGACTCCCTCCGCTCCTGGGCCGGGGGCTCTGACTCCCTCCGCCGCTGGGCCGGGGGCTCTGACTCCCTCCGCTCCTGGGCCGGGGGCTCTGACTCCCTCCGCCGCTGGGCCGGGGGCTCTGACTCCCTCCGCTCCTGGGCCGGGGGCTCTGACTCCCTCCGCCGCTGGGCCGGGGGCTCTGACTCCCTCCGCTCCTGGGCCGGGGGCTCTGACTCCCTCCGCCGCTGGGCCGGGGGCTCTGACTCCCTCCGCTCCTGGGCCGGGGGCTCTGACTCCCTCCGCCGCTGGGCCGGGGGCTCTGACTCCCTCCGCTCCTGGGCCGGGGGCTCTGACTCCCTCCGCCGCTGGGCCGGGGGCTCTGACTCCCTCCGCTCCTGGGCCGGGGGCTCTGACTCCCTCCGCCGCTGGGCCGGGGGCTCTGACTCCCTCCGCTCCTGGGCCGGGGGCTCTGACTCCCTCCGCCGCTGGGCCGGGGGCTCTGACTCCCTCCGCTCCTGGGCCGGGGGCTCTGACTCCCTCCGCCGCTGGGCCGGGGGCTCTGACTCCCTCCGCTCCTGGGCCGGGGGCTCTGACTCCCTCCGCCGCTGGGCCGGGGGCTCTGACTCCCTCCGCTCCTGGGCCGGGGGCTCTGACTCCCTCCGCCGCTGGGCCGGGGGCTCTGACTCCCTCCGCTCCTGGGCCGGGGGCTCTGACTCCCTCCGCCGCTGGGCCGGGGGCTCTGACTCCCTCCGCTCCTGGGCCGGGGGCTCTGACTCCCTCCGCCGCTGGGCCGGGGGCTCTGACTCCCTCCGCTCCTGGGCCGGGGGCTCTGACTCCCTCCGCCGCTGGGCCGGGGGCTCTGACTCCCTCCGCTCCTGGGCCGGGGGCTCTGACTCCCTCCGCCGCTGGGCCGGGGGCTCTGACTCCCTCCGCTCCTGGGCCGGGGGCTCTGACTCCCTCCGCCGCTGGGCCGGGGGCTCTGACTCCCTCCGCTCCTGGGCCGGGGGCTCTGACTCCCTCCGCCGCTGGGCCGGGGGCTCTGGAGCAAGGCTCTGTCTGACCCTCCCCACCCCTCAGCAGGTGTCCTGGCAGCACGAGCGCAGAGCTCTGGGGGGACGGGGCCCTGGCCTCGGTTGGCGCCTCAGAGCACCAGTGCCCATGTGGGCGAGGCCGGGCACCTGGTGTGCCACGTGGCACGTGCGCAGGGCTGGACTAAGCCCTTTAGAGGCCTAAGCACAGAACAGAGGACGGTGCCCCCATATGTAGTTCACAATACAAGCAATACTGTACCGTCAAATCCCATTCGTTTGAGCACGTGCGCCGTCTGCCTAGGGGGTAAGCCAGCCCTGCACGCACATGCCCCACAGCACAGAGGCCGCCTGACGACGGGTGTGTGGCTGCCGAAACAGGCAGGGCCGAGGGTTACCTGCCGTGCTCTGGCCCCGTGCCCTGCTGTGCGGGAGTCCAGGCACTCATGGGTGCGCACGCCCCAGGGCAGGGCGACGCAGGCGGGGCGGGTAGCGAGGCACCTCCCTGGTCAGTAGCCATGAGAGTCTGGCTGAACTAGGCTCCATCCAGGTCAATGTTGCTGGGGGGAAGGGCCGAGAGCGGGTCGATTAGGATCCGCCAGAACCGGGGCTGCTCTGTGAGGCGGCCTCCCTAGCCACCGACTGGAGAACGGCGCCTGGTTCTCCCTGGACTGAGCCACAGAGCCGGCAGGCAGCAGTGCTGCTGGCACCAGGGCTGGCTTACCCCCTAGGCAGACGGAGCAGGAGCTCAGGGCACCGGCAACACAGGGGCACCCAAAGGAACGGGATTTGACGGTACAGTATTGCTTGTATTGTTAACTACATATGGGGGCACCGTCCTCTGTTCCATGCTTAGGCCTCTAAAGGGCTTCGTCCAGCCTCACCTGGTTGGCAAGTCGGGGGCCGCATAGAGCAGGCTGCCCCCCACAGCGAGCGCCCCACGGGGCCAGTCGGTTTACACTACGCAGAGGCCAGGAACGGAGGGTCTAGACTTTGCTAATTGTTCCCTTAGCGTCCCACAGGCAGCTGGGCTGAGGAGCTCAGGGACGTCTCCCTGCAGGCAGCTTTGGGTCTCGGCGCGTCAGTGCAGCCGCTGGCCGGGATTTGCACTGGCACGGGGGAGGTGGAGGCGGGGCCGGGGAGCTGATCACAAAGGGGGCTATGGCGTGGCGGGTAAAATGGGCCCGAAGGGAAGCTCAGCTCGCCCTTGCAAAGAAAAAACGAAGAGCGAAACGTTCCGTGGTCGCGCGTCGAGAGATGGAAGTGGGGCTGCGTAAATAACGACGCCAGCCCAGGGCCGGGCCTGCCGACACCAGCCAATGCCCGGTGCGCCCAAGGGAACGACCAGCCAAGGGCAATTATTGAGTGATGTATCCCGTCATCCAGCCTCACCTTCCCGCAGTGCAAGGCTCGCCCCGCCAGCCTGGCTAATAGCCCTTGATGGGGCTGTCCTCCATGAATTGCTCTAATTGCTCTTTGCATTCACTCACCCGTTAGCCGCCGCGCTATCCCCTGGCAGTGAGTTCCACGGGCCGACTGCGCTGGGTGAAGCAATGGCGCTTCTTGGCCCACCTGCCGCCTAGTCATTTCAGGAGCAGAGATTCCAGGCAGCAGGGGAGGCGCAAACACTAGAGGAACGTGGCCGCTGCCTTCAGTGCGGATGCTGCTGCCAGGGTGCTGGGTGCAAATTAGTGCACAGAAACGGACCTCCAGGCATGAGATGGAAACAAAATTGAGCACAGCCGGCCATGCCTACAGCCAGAGAGAGGGGCCAGGCTTCGGTGTATCTCCCTGTCTGTCCGACCACGGCCGGCTGTGCCTACAGCCACAGAGCGCGGCTGAGCTTCAACGTGTCTCCGTCTGTCCGACCACGGCCGACTGGGCCTACAGCCACAGAGCGCGGCTGAGCTTCAACGTGTCTCCGTCTGTCCGACCACGGCCGACTGGGCCTACAGCCACAGAGCGCGGCTGAGCTTCAACGTGTCTCCGTCTGTCCGACCACGGCCGACTGGGCCTACAGCCACAGAGCGCGGCTGAGCTTCAACGTGTCTCCGTCTGTCCGACCACGGCCGACTGGGCCTACAGCCACAGAGCGCGGCTGAGCTTCAACGTGTCTCCGTCTGTCCGACCACGGCCGACTGGGCCTACAGCCACAGAGCGCGGCTGAGCTTCAACGTGTCTCCGTCTGTCCGACCACGGCCGACTGGGCCTACAGCCACAGAGCGCGGCTGAGCTTCAACGTGTCTCCCTGTCTGTCTGACCACGGCCGGCTGTGCCTACAGCCACAGAGCGCGGCTGAACTTCGGTGTGTCTGCCTGTCTGTCCGACCACGGCCGGCTGTGCCTACAGCCACAGAGCGCGGCTGAACTGTGGCGTGTCTGCCTGTCTGTCCGGCCACAGCCCGCTGTGCTTATG